TACGTGTTTTCACTGCTGGCGATGGTGTTACCCGGAGAACACAAGCAAAAGGAAATCTCAGGTTTGCTGTTGTATTGGCTTGTAGCTGGCAGTCTCATCCAACTTGCTCCTTGCACAGCCAGTGACCTTGGCCTGCAGTAATTCAGACAGTGCCTTACTACATTTGTGGGCAGCAACCAGCTCAGTACAATAAGAGCTGATCTACTGAAAAAACGAGACCAGGTGGCTTGTGGATCAAGGAAAAAAATGAGATGAAGTGTTTTTTGTTTTCCAAACTTGCTTTTGCTCTCCTAATCCTTAACATAAAAATCTTTCCCAGACTTCATTGCTTGTATGAGGTAGCGAAATGAACATTCAGCACCAGCCAAGAAGCTGCCAGTTAGAGGATATTAAAAACTACCCGTGGGCTGATTAGGAGTGCAGAATCTTTTGCTATAATGACTGCAGCTCCTCTACGCCACACTTGCCAAGCATCCAGTGAAAGGAGCCTTTCCCCGAGAGCCGCCCAGCAGCTCCACGCAAGGGCAGAACTGTACTGTTCTTGCTCCAGTGGGCTCTTAAGGACCAGGAGGACAAAGTCCTGTTCCAAACCACCACAGAAGTCAGTAATTGCCAGCTCAAGCTCCAGCGACGGCCCATGCTACAGCTGTGATAAGCTGTAAACAGCTCAGCACATTTTCAGCATTCAGGTATGTTCAGATGTGGAAGATGCCATGGGCTGTATTCACAAAGCAACTTTACTGCAGGGACTGAAGTAAACACGGTATTCCTATTGATGGTCATCGTCAGAGGTGGATTTTGATCCTATTGATGGTCATCCTCAGAGGTGGATTTTGATGGTCATCCTCAGAGGTGGATTAAACCTAGATAGCTCCAAGGAAGACAAGCACCCTCCTATCTTCATTTTTGGTGAGGTGATTAGGAGTGCCTAACAATTTATCATCCAGCAGTGACACAGCAGACTCTAAACAGAGGCTGGTTTCAACCAAAAACTGATTAAGCAAAAGGAAATCAATGCTCAATGATAACTTTACTGATTTTTAACTCCACCAGCCTGTTGTAGGGGACAAAAAACTGCAGAAATTCTTGCAAGTTTTAAGATCCTCAAGATCTTGGAGCTACACAAGACCTATTAAAAATCTGAGTTTGGATGAGAACTATTTGGTAATACTGCCTGCTGACCAATTCCTACACTGGCAAGAGCTAACTTACTCCAAACAAGTTTTATAAAGCAGAAGCTGTTGGTTTTGACACACAAAACTACAAGTTTTGTGAGAGAACTAAGAGTCAGTCAGGGTGGATGAAGTTGCTCAAGCAGTTCTATTAGCTCTTATTAGAGACGCTACAGCAGTTACTTCATACAGGCTCTCCTAGCCAGATAGCCAGTGCTGAATTGTCATTTGGCCTGCTCAAGAATATAAAGACTATTAAGAAAGCTTAAAGACCATTAAATAAGCACTCAGCACTGGGGCAAGGAAATTCCTTCTTTAGATCTAGCCTGGTGACTGAAATCCTCCTTTGTGTTGTGAAGACAAGAGTGGTACAATGCTAATGGCACTGCAACATTGCCCAGCCACGTTTCGCTTTTCTCATGATTTGCTTTTGGATGTCTGAGAGATGTTGAGAAGACCTGACACAGTTCAACGAAAATCAAATGAAAACATGACATGAATAAGGGTGTTGCTATTTCTCCTAGTGCATGTTCAGAAGAGCCAACACCATTACCAAGAATTCCTTCCAGGAAGCAATAAAGGCAGCAGTGGGTGATTTATGAAGCCTTGGCAATTCATTCCTTGGCCCTAAAAATTGGAAACTGACACAACAATAATATTTCTTTTTTTAAAAGGAAATCATTCTCCCAGGCTTCCCAGTTCCCATCTATGCCACACCTTTCTCACACAGTCCTGCATATGGTAAAGGACATGACCGTGGTTTATTAAATATGGAATAGCTCCTCTCCTAGGGCAATAGTGCAAGTCATGTAGGTGGCGTTCTGTGAACTGATACAGAAACACACAACCTTGCTGCAGAGGCTGTCCAGGCATGATAAACGTGGCTCATGAAAAATTACCATGAGCAGGTATAGTTGATAAGCATGAGGGTTTTTTCTGTGGCTGAATAGTTTTCTATCAGATCAATGTGCTGCATCGAGACATGCTCCAGCCACACCAGGTGAGGTCCAGTGAAGGGGAAGCTATGAAAAAACACCCTAGAGAAAGGTGGGGGAAGCAAGGCTGCTTCTTTTAGCATAAGCCTGCAGCTAGATTGGAGTAAGTGTAACACAAAACCACATAAGGGCTGGCTTGCAGAAAAAGGAGGTCCTTGAGATTAGTTTATTGTCTCTCTCATTTATTGCTTTCTTTAGGCAGCTGTACTGGGATGTAGGAGACCGTCTGGCGTGAAAGTTCAGAGATGGAATAATTAGATTCAACGGCATGATTATGGATTTTATGTGTGAGGCACCTTTAGTTGTTAAGGAAAAAGTTAAAGCATGTTCTCCATAAAGCTTGGGAGGATTCTCATAACACTAGTACAAGTAGGTATATGAAGAGATGTTAAATTCCTAATTGTTCCTTTTATCTTTCCTGTGATAGAAACAGAGTTCTGTTTTAAAGACGTACCAAAACCCAGGTCTTTCATCTGGAGTGTAAAATTCATGTGTTCTCTGACCTCATGTGTCACATGGTAATGAAACAACGTAAATCAGAAATGTTAAAAGTTGAAGTTTGTTAATATTACTGCTGAAGCTCCAGTCTCTTTCCCGGTTAAACTGTCAGGTCCATAGTGCAAATATATATATTTACAGATTACGACACAAAGAAAAAGAATTAATGGACACCCAATGAGAAACAAATGGAAATGCAAGTTTCAGATGACTATCTGGAACTTAAAAAAAAAAAAACACCACAAAAACAACTTGCATTTTAAGTATACTTTCTTTGTATTGTACTACCACCTTACCCCTAAGAAAATACTTCGGTGATTTATACTCTGTGGGGAAAATTTAGTAAATAGCATACATTTTGCATTTGCTTATCTATGTTCCCTTCTCTCTTTTTTAGCTGTCTGGGCTGAAGCAGTCACCAAGATACAGGAATGTATCTCCCCTAGTTGAGGAAGACATTATATACTGATATTTTGGGGTCAGTAAACAGAAGAAGATGGACCCTATTTGTTCCCACCCTTGTCAGCCACTTCAGAACGACTGACTGAATTTGATGTAGACCAGAGGTGGCAAGAGCTCACAAAGCAACACAAAGACTTTGGGGAGATTGGGCTAAGGCCAGTCCCAACTTGGGACGCAATCAGCAAGGTGTTCTTTTTAGGTGCCCACTGGCCTGGGGTTTACTAAAAATAAAAAAAAAAATCTCTTTCCCCCTCTCTCCTCCCGCAAAAATCCATGGGGAGTCTCAAAGACTGGAAACAGGGACATTTCCATACAGCTCATTTCACATAGAGAAATCCAACTCGTTAACTCAAAAAAGTCAAGACTACGCCAAAGCATACTGCACACTTGAGATGATCACAGGTAAGCCTCATATTGCAGTTTTTTCCCATATTATATGGATTGCGAAAGCAACTGGAAACTAGTTCACATTCGTTTATGTCAACTACTGCTGTCCAAATCTCACCCTACAAAAACCCCTACTCTTTCTCCAGCAGATGACAGGAAGCCAGTCTTGAAGAAGGCGAAATCCTGGCTCCATTGCATTCATTTGCCAAATCTGAATTGACTTCAACAGAGCCAGGATTTCCCCCATAAAGATTTAGCTATAGTAAGCAGGGGAACATCTAAATGGCAGAGTAGAAAACCAGGTTATGGAGACTTTAGATCCCCACTTTGTACCCCCAAGCCAAGCACCACAGTAACACGACATGAGAATATTGCCTTGGCTGGGTTCGTAATGATCAGTTTTCCAACTCAAAAGATTCACGTTATTACTGAAGTTTCTGCAGGTAATCCTCCTAACAGAGGAATCACACATAACAGAGATGAAGTGCTTCTTTCATCTTTACAGACAGTCTCTTGAGAACAACTATCACTGCCACATCTGGTCATTCTGGAGCTACATCAATTTTATTTTCCCTTGTAACCTATTACTGACCCAATTTTCCCTATTATTAGCACTATCCTGACCATTCTGCTTCATGCTGCTGTAAAGGTACCTCTTCAAGTGACAGGGACTGAGTCAGTGTGAAATGAGGGAAAAAACAAGCAAAAAAATGAAATTCTTCACTAGAATGAACACAAGCAGCCAAAAATAAGAAAAAAACACATAAACAACAACTGAATCTGGGCAGAACAATGGAGTGATTGAGAAAATTCAATCAGCACTGCTTCTAGCACCAAATTTAGGGCTGTAATTCCCACAGTGCTTCTAAAGAGTATTTTTCATGCAAGACACAAAAGTTATTATTTCTTTCTTAATCCTTGCTTCAGTTCGAAAACCAGCTCTCCATGTGTGCTAATTGGGATGGATGAAAATTCAGTAAGTAATGCAATTTTCCTGGGTTTTGTTTTCTTAACTGCTTGAATTCTAAAAAAGCATCTATTTTTTTCTCCATTATCAGATACAATGCTGTAGCATGGATGCAGCATTGCCACCCGGGATCCAGATCTTAAAGCTACCTGTGGGTAATGCTAACAGCCAAAACTCAGTATCTATCAGCGCAGTGAAAGACTGCGTTACAATTACTTGGCATGGCTGCATACGGGGGAGAAAAAAAAGCATTACTACTTTTTTCCTGTCAAATTACCTATCTTATCTGAATGTTATCTTACTGTCTTATTTATTTACTAAAATTTTCTATCTTTACTATAAGACTATTTTTACTACAGCATTATTATTTACATTGCTTCTCTTGTATCCCGTATCAATTTGAATGACTTAAATGATCTTATACAATTACATAAGTACTGGAATATACACGAGATTACACAGGAACACAGCACATAAACTATGAGACAGAAATCTCAAAACTATATTTAGCATACTCACTTGAATAAAGGAGTTCCACAAACAACACATTTGTATATTCCTTGAGCTTTATGATGTGTGTACTCCCCCTCAAAGGCACTGGGAAAACAACAACACTGCATTTTAAAAATAAATAAAGGCATTTTGGGTTTTTTAAATTATTAAATTAGCTAAGAATTTAGAAAAATGTAACAGAAAAACCCCATGATTTAAAAGTTGGCAGTTGTTTTTTATTAAAGGCAGCAAATAAAGCAGGCACAGGAAAAGGGGGATGTCCTCATTAGCGTGCCTCAGGTGTGTATCGTGCAAGAGGAGGTGAACCGTCCTGCAGTTCAAAGGACCGAACAACAACAACAACAACAACAACAAGGGAAAAACTGGAATCTTCCCCTATTTGGCAAGTGAAATGTAAGTTTTTGTAAACATGGATTGTTTGACACGTAGCTCAACCTGACGCGCTTCTCTAGGTCTGTCTTTAGGAAACGTGTCGGCGGCGGGCTCAGCTGCTACCGGTGTGGAGCGCTTGGGTGCCGGCCGCCTGGGAGCTGGGAAGCCGTGGTGCTGGGTCAGGCCGCGACAGGCTGCCGGGGCGACAGAGGCATTGTAGCTGAAAATGAAATAATTGGTCCACCATTTCAAGCTGTGTGTGCCTTATATTTTTAGTTGAAAAGCAATATTACAGCTTTAAGGGAATATTTTTCTAAGTTAACAATCTAAAAGGCTAGGAGGTCATTCATCTAATACGAATCAGCTGCGCTAGCCCAACAAAAAGCCTATGTGCTCGGCAGCTTGTTTTTATTATCCTTTCACCCTTTTTATGAGGTCCAATTTTTTTTTATAAACAGGATTTTTAAGAATGACCTAATCTCCGATTGTTTGTGTGCATTAAATCACTTTGTTGGTCCCGTACACAAGAGCAAGGAGGGCAGGGGGGGAAGGCAGGCCTCCCGGCAGAGGCCAACGTCCCCCTGCCCCTCCGGGGCTGCGGGAGGACGAAGGAGGCCGGGGCGGAGAGGGGGACCGTCCCCGCCACCCCCCCCTCAGCAAATTCAGCCACCGGTACGCACTGTCAGGAAGAGCACTGCCGATTAACCGGGACCCCACGTGCGGTGGTGAGCCCTTTCAGGTCATGAATGAAAACAAGCGGTTACATCATTAGTACGTTTGGAGCAGAGGTAAAGCCAGGGCCTTATGCCAAGCTCAGTGGTATAAATTAGACAACAAAAAATGGCTAGGCCTTGGCAAGTTACCTTCATGCTGGAATCAGCTGAGAGAGAGACTTTATTCACTAAAAACAGTCTTGGAAGCGAGTCCCTTTTTTTTATCTCCAGGACTCAGGGCTGGCTTCCAGCGACTAAAGCCATGTGAGGGCAGTTATTGAAAATTTTTGACATTCCAACCACAAATGAGCCAATAAATACCTTCTCCACATGTGCTTCAAAAAGAAATTGGAGTGGGGTGGAAAAGAACTAAATTATGCTACCTTCTTTCTGCAGCCAAAACGTCTATACTTACAATGGCCACCTTCAAAACTCCAGCCTCCTGGCACGGGGCCATTTCCCTCGTGGTTCTGCTTACTGCGACGTCTTCCAAAAAAAGTGTACCTAAACCGCTATTACTTCCACACATTTTGTAGTAAACTAAAAACAGACTCTAAACATGAGCCCGGTGACTTTATAAGACATGCAGTGTTCATTAAAAGAAAAAGTCACACAAGACCCCTGGCCTCGGCCCCCGTGCTGCAGATGCTTGTCATTGCAGCGGTGTTAATTTGTAGGGGTTAGTAAACAAGTGCAGATATCCTGGGGGGGAAAAAAACAACAAAACAAAACTTGGTGGGGAAGGTGAGGAAGCACCAGTAAGAGGAGGGGGAGAAAAGAAAGATGCCTGTGTTTCGAGGACTGCGTTTCCTTTGTCCTGCCTTACCTTTCAGTCCCCTTCTCCTGAGTGACATGGTACTGCAAGGGTGTCAGCCGCTTCCTCAGCTCCTCCTGGGAAAAGACCACCTTACAGTCCTTTTTATCCCTACATGACCCTGCAAAGGGAGAGGATATGGGAGAAGGAGCCTTTTTAGCTTAAATCCTGAATAATTGCTTTGGCAGACGGCCACAGCATAGCTTCTGCATTCACTTGTCAATGACCAGACCGGTCCCTAATGCACGAAGAATGGCTCAGCTGAACTGCAGCTGATTATTTCTTCAAATCCAAGTTTAAAAAAGAATTTTGCTCGAGAGCCAGGTGATTCCACTGGAGCAGTGACAATGTGCTACAGCCAAAGCCCTTCAGTGTGTTATACACTAAACTGTTGCGCACACTATCATTCACAAGACAGTAACATTTCTCCCACCGTTAAAAAAAAAATCTGCAAAAAAACCAACTATAGCTGAAACATTCTTTACAAGACATCTATATTGGAGACTTACGGTAATGGGCATATGATGTTCAGCCACGACATCCAACAATTTCATTACCCTTTAAAGTAGCTGAAAAACAATTCTAAGTCTTTAGAATTCCAGTAAGGTTGATTTAACTTCTAGTCGCATCCTCGTCCTTTTACTTTGTAACATTAACCATTGTATTTTTTTACTGTTGAAGCACTAGAATAGGAGCCCTGAGGAGCGAGTAATTTCTTTATGCACAAAGTTGTACAAGGTTCAACAAAAACTTGTTGTAAAAATTAGGGTTGCTATTGAAATTATCCTCCTTTGAAAATCTCATCTTATGCTTTGCTTAGTTCACACAGAAAATCCAAGGAGTACATAAGGATTACTGTAAAAAAACATTTGTATAGTGCAAAAATTCACATCACATCAGGAAAGAAAAAATAACAGTAGGGTTGCTTTTGAGAATGAAAACTCCCAAAGCAGCAACAGAAATTGCCAAATATTCAAATAACTTTGATAATCGCTTGCAAAAATTAGCTGACAAAATATGGCAGGGAAAAAGCACTCTAATTATATGACAGTAATTAAAATATGGTACAATTAGAAATAAACAGTCCTGACAAAAATATTTTTTGCTAGTAATGTATATACACTCATAAAAAGACCAATTGTGTTCCCAAAGTAGAGGGAACAGAGCTACCCATCTGTATGTCATTTAGTACAGGAGAGGCAATGGCAGGTTTAAATTACATGGTATTGGATTGCAATTTCCTAACATTGGATGCTTTTCTGCTTTTTTACCTTGAGTCATTACTAAGGAGTGTTCATAAAAAGTAGCTTAAAGCACAGATGCTTGCAAATCATTTAAGAAAAGATGTTTCTTTCTTCCTCCCCCTCTTCTTTTCTCATTTTTTTAATGTGTGGGGGTGGGTGAACAGGGGAGAGAGAAAAAGAATAATGCTGTTGGTCACTACCGACTAACCCTAGGAAGTATTTTCAGGAAGAAAAAAGTAAAATTGAAAACATCTGATTGAAGTAAATAGTGCAAACATAAAAAGCTTTACTAGTGAAAGAAAGGTATTGAAAAGCGACTTTATTTCATAGATTAGAAATTACTTTTGATCTAAACATTCTTAAAAACAGATTGTTTTCCACTCTGAGCCATCTCATTAGCTGTGCTGCAGAGCCTTCGTTTTAATGGCAAGCTTTGAAAGAGCGCTGCTGTATGCCTTTGTTAGCTTCAATCTTATTTGGGAGAGGGATAAAGATTTCATTCCAGGACTCTTTGTTTGTCTTTCAAGAACCACTAAAGCAGTATTCACACAAATTTTGCAGGAATGTGCCCTGTGCCATAGCTTACAAATTATTTGGTTTTGGTGCACTTAAAGGTCACCTTCCAAATTAGCAAAATTTTCCTACATCCTGGCTTTTCAACCTTAAATGTAAATATTGTTTCCTAACTGTAAGTGAGGTTTGTTCTTTTTAACGTTTGGTTGCTTATTTAAAGATGTCAAACGCTGGAGGTTTTTATTCTCCGAACGTGCAGGTCGCTAGGACTAATAAGTCTTTCAAAGTATAGCTAACAGGGAAAGGAAGCATATGCATTATATAAATAGCTATTATTATGTTGCATTACGCAGCTCAGAAGAAACTGTTTGAGAGATGGTCTGTCATCTATAATTTCAGTATTAAAAGTAGTCTAGAGAGCAGCAAAGAATCTTACAAACCAACACCTCTTCACTTCTAAAAATATCTACCAATTATTTTTTTTTTAATTCTATTTGCTCTTTAGATGTTGCAAAAAAGCACACCAAACATACTTCACTTTGGAAAAAGTCAGAGGAAATACCGCATGTTTTAAAGAGTGGTCAGTATTCTCTCTTTACTCTCCTTGAATAATTTTTCATCTACTTTAGAAATTTAATGTTCTTCAATCAATGGGCTCACTATATGCACAAGAAAATTTCTATATGCCACTTGATCCACGACACAGATCCGAAGTAGGGAGCATGTTATAAAAGATATTTTTCCCATTGTTTTTAATAATTAACTGCATGTTTTACAATACAGACAAGTATTTATGTCTACAGGGGAATTTTGCCAAACTGCACTGGGGTAAACTGCAACCTACCCCAACAAAGGTTTGTAATTTAATGGAGTATACATCAGCAAAAAGCTATAGTTGCACTACAAATCATAAAGGAAATCTCTTGGTCCAGCCCTGAACATTCAAGAACAGCCCTATTCAATTAATTGCACTTATTATTTAACTGCTAGCAACAAAAAAATAGCTCAGGAAATTGACTGCACTATTTCCATATTGCCAAAGAGCCAAGGAGGTAAAACAAGACTCACCCCTGACTGCAGAGGATGTAAGGATACGTTATCTGAAACAGGGCTAGCCTACAAGCCTCGATAAAATGCAATGAATCCTAAAAATTACTGGATGAGATCCTAGGAATACAGTCCTTCAGTTAGGAAAAAAATAACGTGCAAGAGGGACAAAAGTGCTCAGCTTGCAGTACAAGAGTGCCTGCTTCCATTTTTTCACTGTTCCTTTATGGCATATATGAGATGTCTGCTACATTCAAGCCAACTCTCTGTATCTTGGGAGGGGACAACATAAAGCTACACAAGTATATGCCAAATACGAGAGAAGCCGCTACTAGTAATGCAGCTGTTATCAAACTCGTTATTAAAGCAGAGAATAAAGGTGCAAGCTGACCACCTTCCTCAGTCTGGTTCCCCAAAGAAGTGACCAGCTATGGGCTGTGGAAGGGGTTCCCATACAGGCAACAAACTTCCTCAGCAACTCAGGCATACAGGCAGGCTGACAGTTCATTTGCAAATTATACAGTTCAAGGCAGAAGAGACAAAAGGTCATCAGTTTTACATACAGCATGACATCAGTGTGATTACATTAAAGGTGAGACTAAATCAAATACACTGTGAGGATAAGAGAGTCTGGATTCATTAGATCTATATTAGGACTCTGGATTGGATCTCACTTGGAGGTGATGCTCTCAGCAATGACTTTTAGAAGAGCCCAGGACAGCTATGTTCCGAACTCCGGTTAGATCCCACTGTCAGGAGTGGTGATTGCCAGCCTACAAGGGCAGACAAAATTCCCTTTACATTCCACTGCGGGATCGGAGGCCAAATTAAATCTCTCTAATCGGTGCACCTTGGTGCCTTCGTGGGGGTCGGCGCTCATTAGAAGAGCAGCGTGCATGCAACTGTTCCACGAACAGGCACCAGCATTTCCACTTGAGGCCACCTGCCTTCAGCCTTTTGCCAACCGTTACAGCAGTCCTAAAAGCTGTTAAGATCCTGGAGCAGGATGGAAGGCTTTGCGAAGAAAAGGTCAGGCTCACAAATCTTAATGCATAAACATTAAAAAAAAAGCTGAGGAGGGTGAAACAAACAGCAACAGAAACCCTGTCGGAGCCTTCAGGGCGTTCCTGTGCTTAGGAATGGCTTTTCTGAAAAGCAACGCAATGCACACTGCCATTTACTATTCACCCACAGACTACGGGCATTTCAGAGTTCAGCTCTGGAGTCCTCCTCTGTACAAATGAAGTGAACAGAAAGTATTTTCTGGGTGTTGACCTGATAATGAAGACATTAAGCATCTCACCTCACATATAAATTCCAATTTCAATTGACCTTTTCAAATCTGTGGTTCATAATGCGTGTGCCATTTTCTTCCATATAAGCAATCACAAGAAAACTAGCAACGAGATACGTCCAGACAGATGGACACAAGTTAGCGGGCCATTACTCCTCACAACTCAGGCCTTCACCGGCTCCAGCGTGCCGGAGGGTGGCGATTAGTGTCCGACATGCCCTGAAATACAGTGACATTTTGCCTGATGGCTTTCCTTCTTTAAATAGTCTTTTGAACCATTCTAATGATTTTCTCTTACATTTTGTTGCTTCCAATCACTGAAGTTAACTCAACATTTCAACTGCATGGAAGACACAGCATACGTTTTCCCCCTTCTACATATGCTTATGTTCCACTAGCATTAATGGACATTACAGTCGTGTACTGAACACATACCATTAAGACTTCCTGAATTAAATACAGCAAGATCAAATGTTCCAGCAGAGCACAGCCATATAATAAATCGGGCTTCCAGTTTTCAGTACTACTTCTTTTAATATACCCAAGCAGTTTTTTAGGGGCCTTCCAGCACATTTTATTATTCATATACCACCCCAGCCCCAATCCTGCAATGTGACCTGTGCGGGCAGACCCTTGGGAATATGCATAGCTCCGACAACTACAGAAGGGTCTACAAATGTACATCAGATTACAGGATCTGGCTCTAAGTATACCTCTCTCTGCTTCCCAAAGCCTGTCCCCTCATGAGTGGGTCATACCTTAGTCATCGATGGTAAATTATCTCAAACTGACATTAAGAGGAATCCTGCAAGGTTAAAAAATATTTCTTTGAATAACCCTTACATATGCTATCGCTAATACTCAGTATTATTAAAAGTGGAATCTCTCGGTTTTATTATTTCAAATTTCATTTACACAGTTTATGCCTCTTGTTTACAGTTTTGCCTCTCTCTCTGCTTATGAAAAGGTAAATGCACAACTCTACATTTCACTTCTGTTTACTCTGTTCTCTGCAGCCTCTAG